GTGCCACCGTGGGACAGTGATTAATTTTGGTGTGCTTGGCAAAATGTCTTCAAGATGTTTGTTTGGGTTGTCTTTTCCCACCCCCTTGCCCACCCCTCACTCCCCACATGTCTTGAAGTCGTGGGTCGAGAGTGGCAAGTCTCCCTCCTCTTCCCCTCATGCCCCATCCCCTGCTGTCACAGCCTCCTCTTTGGGGTGGAGGTGGCGGGTGCATCATCACTATCATCATCATCATCAGCAGCATCGAGGGACAAAGACTACCTGAACTGACAGAGATCTTCTTTTCTGACCGGAGCCACTTTTTGTCACTTTTCCACGTTGCTGTCTGTTTAGTGTGCGCTGGTGGAGTATGATGGGAGAAGTCCTGACCCGGCTCTGGGGGGCTGTAACACTTCACTGTCAGCATGGCTGATTAGCTTATCACTCACCACTCTGGGAGGAAATACATCATCATTCCAGACAGGGATTCCCTAGTTTAGGGCCCATTCCCTGTGTTCTTTTACTTCCCATTTAATCACCACATTCTGTTCTCTCCAGGATTTCAGACTCCCCTCTAAAGCTAATTCTCAGAGGCTTACATCGAGAATGATCTGCCTTTCAGGTGCAGTTTTAGTAAAACCGTAAATACTTTCCTCTTTTTTGGACTGGAGACATATGCATGATACACTTTGTGGGCAGAGGAAACCAGAATGAGCCATCTTCCCAAATTTTTCTTTTCAGCTCACTCAACACAAAGTGGGAAATGTGCTTTGGCTTCCCCACAGTGTGGTATCAGGTATAGTAACTACTCCACCATTAACATTGGGAATAGTTAATGTGTATTAATGTGTTAATGGCATGTTAATTACTGTACATGCTAGAGTCAGCCCGGAGGCATTTTTTCAGATTCTTTGTGCCATGTGGATGTAGGCCAAGGTTTAAAAAGCCTTTAAGAACATCGATGAAAGGGGATCCTTATGTTTCATTTGTCAGAACAAAAGATTTTCAATGGTAATTTGATCCAGCTCCCGGCTTCTGGAGCTGAAAGTCACTGATCCAGGCGCCACGACAAAGGAAATGATATGAAGTCAAAGGAGACATGTAACGCAGCTGTAGTGACACTGGCCTCTTTGTGAAATGGATACTCTAAGCCCTCTGTAGTCTCTAGTGTGTTGCTTTGACTGTGGGTTTTAATAACACTGTGGATTAGAAGCCTTAGATCCCAAGTGCCAAGTCTGAGTTAAAGCTCACCTTGGACAAGCCTCAGTAAGAGGCTAGATTCCACACTCATCCTCCTCCTCCTCCTCCTCCTCTGAGCCGCCTCTCTGCTCACACCATCTATTCCACGGCTTTAAGAGAGATGACCTTTGCAAATATTGACAGAAAATAAATTCTGTTTCGATTAGTTAGCTTTGGGAGACCTTTGCAGATCAATGCAATTAGATGAACAGAGTGTCGATACGTGGCTGGAGCTGTTCACTGGAGGCACTGGGTAGGAGAGGAGCTGCAGGAGGTCAGGGTTAGTTGTAATGAACAGGATGTTATGGAAACAGCGGTGGAAGTAACACTGTGTATCATCAAACAGGCACGATCGCTTTGCTGCATCACATTCTGCTTGCAGCATAAAACATTTTACTGTCTCGGAAAAAAATGACCAAATAAAGAAAATTCTCTGGCTTTATCTTTAAGAGGCACTACTCTTCTAGTGTTTTGTCTGACATCTGACAGTACAGTCAGTGCAACAGAATGAAGTGGAGAAGCTCAGAGCCACCCTTTCCCTCTTCAGGCCACATTAACCCAGCGGGGCTCCACCTTTATGGCTCTCCTGCTCACACTTCAGTGATGAGAGTAAACAAGCAGCAGGCCAAAGGTCAGCTAAGCCCACAGAATAAAAGAGGGCACGGGGGGGGGAAGAGGTGGGAGGAAAGGAGAGTGGCCCGAGGCAGTGCTCAGATCACTGTCAGGTTTTCAAGCAGGGAATGATGTATGAGACATCATCCCTGAACCGGAAATGGTTCTAAACAGAGAACGTGGAGAGGGCTGCATTGTCTTTATCTGTCAAATTTGTTACTTCCCCAGATCTGATATCGACGGTGAAACCTGTAAAAAATGAAAAGCAGAACCACCCCTGACTGATGGGTATGAATTAATGACAGTGTCTCCTTTTGTCTCAGCCACAGAGGAGAAATGAGGAACAATCATATCGGCAAGTGCTTTTTAGCCAGCTATTCCACCTGTATTGTTGAATGACAAATGAGGCTGATTAAGGACACGTTATTATTACAGTTTCTGATTTTTTTTTTCTTTGACATCATTAAATACTTTGTGGTAATTAAGTGAGCTGCATCGCCAGAGTTATGTGAAATAACTAGACCCTATATAGATTTTTCAGTCTCGAGTTCCTGTTGCTCCGAGGCTTTACCAAGGTGACACAACTTCCACACTTTCCACTGAGATTAATCCCACTTTGACTGTGGAGGTGGATTAGAGCTAAACTCGGGTGCCTAAACTTGTTTTAATACCCATATCATCACACAAAAACAGGATAAAGATTTGAGCAGGCAAAGCAGCATTGCAGTGCTAGAATGTGGCTTTGCAAGTTACTACACAGATTTGTCAGCCACACAGCAAATTAAAGATATTATCTTGTTCAAGCCTATTTTGTAGAATTTATGTGATGATGTTGAGCTTAGACAGTGAATCCACAATCTGTAGCTCCTCCAAAAGGTGCGTGGAAAGAAGACAGTGAGACAGAGGCACACCACCTCTTTATTTATTTATTTTGTAGGCTGTTTTTCTTATTTCCTTTTTAATTTTTAGAATTTACGTGCTTGAGATGAACACATCATCCCTCCCAGCATGTGCATTATGAATGACCAGTCAGAGCTGCTGTGGCACAAATACACCCTGGTGGACTTCTCAGGGCAGCGCAGTAATCATTTTTATCCTGCTGATTTCCCAAATAGAAATGGACACGTATGATAAAAATGTCACGGCCACTCCACATGTCAGTGGACTAACAGGATTACATGTCACTTTCTAATGTCTCGCTCTGTTTTCCTTTGCCGTGAACGGGCACATTATTGCACACAGGAACTTTGTGGTAATATATGGTAAGAGACAAGTAGCTCTTTATGGTCTGTGATTATTTAGTTTGAATGAAACCAGTGATTTATGCCCATTTAGCTCAAAAGCCCTGTAAATTCCCTCAGCTGCATTTCCCCTGGATATAGAGTGAGTGGAGTGAAAGTGACAACTGGGTTTGGTGTGGAAATGTACGCTGCGTCCCGGAGTTATATTTAATATACCTGACATGAAAAACGTGCCTACCTACTTACCACCACCCACAGCACAAAGGAAAGTACAGCCTGCTGAGTTTGTGTTGAATCAAAGAGTGGGAGTAAATACTGAATTAGGAAAATATGAACCGTAGTGGCAGACAAATCACCAGCTATTAGAGCATGTTGAGATATGTAGCCGGGCATCTGGTCAGTCAACATTCGAATCATGTGCCATTTTGTTCCATGCCGCACAAACTGGAATAGAAACAGTCGAGCCTGTCCAGAACGAGAGCTTTGGGTGGAGTTGTGCAGATGCAGTGTGATGTGGATGAGGGTTAGTGGAGCAGCGGCATATTGTCCACATGGATGGCTTGGCTCTGCAAGCCTGATGGAGCCTTGTCCAGCATCTCAATGTCTCCAACACAAATAGGCACATTCATCCACTCCTCTCACACCATTACACCTAAAAGACTCAAAGCCAGCCGATCCATAAATAGAGGCAAATTTGTTTTTCAGTGGCACTGCAGTCCAACAAAACACCAACTGAGATGAAAACATTAGAGGTGTGGCTACTGGTTTCTTTTCGTTTTTTTAATTCAGGAATGTGTTTATAAGAAAGATAGAAAGAGTAAAGAGTGTTTTTTGCTTTGCTATTCACTGCTATGGATGGTGTGCAGGGTCAGTCGGTCAAAGCGTGGTAAAAGGGCTTCTCTCATTGCATGCCTACTGGCTGACACAATAGAGCCACTAATCTTCTTATTTAGAATCCAGAGGCTCGCCATATCTTAATGAAGCTGTAATGAGCTGTTGAAAATCCCTGAATTGCGGGAAGGATTATTGAATTGAAACAACTTTGGTAATCATAATGTTCGAGTAGCCACTCAGTATTTACTGCCCACTGAGCCACATTTTTATTTACTTATTAAGCTGGATTGCTCGAGCTTGTTTTTGTTGTAATTCTGACCCGCAGTGGGTTTTTTTTTTGGTTTGTTTGTTTATTCTTTGTAAAGCCCAGCATCATGGCTACACTGCTAACACAGCCAGGTGTGCATGTGTGCTATCTGCTGGGTGATTATGACTTGCTGACAGACTGGTGAGACAGAAAAGCAGAGGAAATAAACAGCAGGGTATGAACACAACAGAATTCATGAATGAGCACTTTACATAATATTGACTCTGCAATCATTCTGCTGTTTGTAGATTTTTATTTCACCAGTGCATTTTTATGACAGTAAATCTTAGAATACTGAAGACTGTAAAGTAATACAAGATTCAAATATTATAGCAATGAGAACAGTAGTTATTTTCTGGAGTTCCCAGCATTCACTGTGTCAAAGACTGAGACACTTACTAGAGGCATAGTTTTCTGTTTAGCATCCTTTCACAGAGTAGAAGTGCCACTTCACCACTGAGCATTTGTCAGTTTATGGATGTTGCTGTCATGTCAGCCTTCCCGTACACACCCATGTGCAGTGCAGTGTGTAAATAAAAGAGAACAGGCATAGACATGGGCGACAGGAACAGCACACACACAGGAGGCACCCAGTTTATACCTGCAGGGGAAACATCGCACTAGAGCTGATTACGCAGTCAAATGATTTTAACTGAACTTAACAATTCAATCTGAGCTTTTGTGATGTGTTTTATTTTTCATTATTCATGTTATTTTTTTTTCTAGGCCTTTATATGTTTATGGATGCCATTAGCTGATGCTCCGTCCCTGTCTGTGTGTCACTGCAGGTCTCAGCATCCGTGGCGCCCAGGAGGAGGACCCCCCAGACCCCCAGCTCATGCGTTTAGACAACATGCTGCTGGCAGAGGGCGTGGCGGGGCCAGAGAAAGGGGGCGGATCTGGTGGCGGCGCAGCCGCGGGC